AGCCCCCAGCGGAGAGGGGAGGCGGTCGGGGGCCGTTTCCAGGAAGCTTTTCGGAGCTGGGGGCAGGGCTCAGGGACCGCGTCGGAGGCCTGGTAAACACCGTGGGGACGGCGCTCCCCGCCTGTTCCCGAACCCCGGCGTTTCGTTCACAGCCTCCCGAGGGCGAAGTTTCCGCGGGGAAGGGCAGGCGAAAGCCTTGGAAAGCGCCAGCGAGCCAGGATGTGAGGCTGAGCGGCCGAGACAACTTGGAGGACACAGAGGACAGGGCATCCCCGCGGGAAAGGAAAAGCGGGAGGTAGAAGTTGGGGATGAAGGCATTAACCGAAACCAAGAAGTGGCTGAAGCAACTCTAAGGCAGCAGGGAACAGGGATAATGGANCGAAGTGACTGAAGCAACTCTAAGGCAGCAGGGAACAGGGATAATGGGAGCAAATGGAATCGTGTCCATCATTTTTATTTTGTACCTGCGTGTAAGGTGTAAAAAAACTGTAGCCAAAAAATGTTTTGAGAAAAAAAGACAACGTATCGAATTCCATCACGTTACAGCAGCTCGTTTTGTTTTTTATGTATTACCCTCTACTTTTTATGCTTTAGACGTTCACATTTGAAATGTGTGTTATTTAATCTTTAAGGCTGTGGGGCTAAACTGCCTGGATTTAAATTGCAGTACTCTGCCATTTACTACTTATGTAACTTTAAGGAAGTTGATTAACCTCTCTAAGCCTCAGTTGTATCATCCATAAAATGGGCATAATAATGTTAACATAAGTGTTAATGTTAGGATTTAAACAGAGAACACATATAAAGCCATTAGTGTGTGTTAAATAGTAGGATTTAAGGCGTATTTACTACTATCACTTCTAGTATTTCTGACCAAGTGAACATATCAATTGATCTCCTATGTGTGTGAGCAAAATTTGATAGGCAGATCATCTTTCAGAAGTCTCTTCCAGCTAATTTAGCTTTCTGTGGTTCTGTGGTAGGCAGAGCAAGGAGGATGGGCCAGGTTCAGAAGGTCAACAGGGTAGATAGCACTGGGTGCTTAGCAAAGGACAATTGTAGGGTGAAACCTTGCCTCCAGGGTGACATTTCCTCCCCTAATATATCACTGGTCATGTGCTTTGGACCCCCTGACCTTTTCTCCCTGGAGATAACATCTAGGCCAAAGTTGTATTTCAGCTCCAGGCCCAGAAAAGCAGCAAAACCAGAGACGTTACCCCATGGTTGACCTCAGGACCAGCTGCATTGGATAATGCCCCCCTGCCCTGGTGCTGACCAACCAGTGGAGACCTAGACCCTGAAAGGACACACCTGGAGAAATGCTGAGTATTTTATTGAAATCTTCCCCTGGGACCTCCCCTAAAATCTCCACCCTTGAAACCCTTAGGACCGAGGACCCAGTGTGCTCTCCCTCCTGGCTGCATAGCCTTGCCTTTTCCTCTCCCTCTCCAGACTCATCACCTTTACCTTCCTCACTTCTAAGCTACAGGGGCCCTTCCTTTGCCTCTGTCACTTTTTTCCTAAACCCATTTCTGCTACAAATTACTTCTTCTACCTTTGTGACTTTCCAAATAAATATTCTCTCACAGTTTGAGTCTTGTGTCTGAATTTTTTCCTAGCCAGAACTCAAGTACCAAGGTTGCTGAACCCAGGTCTGGTCAGACCCCACAGGTCTAATACCTCATGCTGTTCCCATTGCTCACAACATTATGGTGCCTGGACTCAGATTGTNTCCAGGCACAACATTATGGTGCCTGGACTCAGATTGTGATTCAGGTTGTGTGGCAGGATTCCAGAGAAGGCCACCCAGGACCACCTTGCAGACCTGGACAAGTGCTAGGTGCCAACAGGGACCCCTTGTATCCCACCTGCTCCTGGCTTTGCATCAGGTGGATTTGGATAAATTTTTCTTGGTATTATGGACCTCCTTGTTTTAAGGTGTTGATAAATCCTTGAGGTGGAGCTAAAGGTTAAAGTTGAGAGACACTAGGCTCAAGATAAGAATTAAGATAACTAAGTACAGTGGGGGCTTGGGGGGGGGGGAAATAGTGGCTTTTTAACTTTGGCTTTTCAGTTGGAATTGCTTTCTGAGGGTCTTAACAAAACCTTTTGCTGGGTAAATGAGAGCCTACTTCACTCAGCTGGAAGATAAGGNGCTTTCTGAGGGTCTGAACAAAACCTTTTGCTGGGTAAATGAGAGCCTACTTCACTCAGCTGGAAGATAAGGGACACCTGGTAGTTTCTAATCTTCTAGAGAACACCAGTAGTCCCTTTAACTTTTCCTGCAAGGCAGGTTTGGTGATAAATTCCTTTAGCCTTTTTTTTGTCTGGGAAGCTCTTTATTTCACCACCTATTTTGAATGATAGTCTTGCTGGATAGAGTAGTCTTGGTTTCAGATCTTTGTTTTGCATTACCTTGAATAATTCATGCCATTTCCTTCTGGCCTGTAGAGTTTCTGGTGAGAACTCAGCTGACATCCTTATGGAAGCTGCATTGAAGGTAACAGATTGCTTTTCTCTTACTGCCTTTAATATTTTCTCTTTGTCTTGAATTTTTGGCATTTTAATTATGATGTGTCTGGGCTTGGGCCTCTTTGTATTCTTCTTGTTTGGGACTCTCTGTGCCTCCTGAACTCATGTGCCTTTTTCCTTCACCAGATTAGGGAAATGTTCTGCCATTATTTCTTCAGATTCTCTAACCCTTACTTTCGACCTCCTCTGTCATTCCTGTAATGCTAATATTGTTACATTTCACGTTGTCCCACAGCTCCCTTAGACTGTCCTCCTGTTTTTTAATTGTTTTTCCTTTTTGGATATCTTATTAAGTGATTTTGTCTACCCTGTCTTCTAATTTGCTGATCCAATCCTCAGCTTCCTCTAATCTGCTGTTTATTCCAATGTATTTATTTCTGCTGTGCCATTCTTCATTTCTGCCTGGTCATTTTTCATAGTTTCCATATCTTTTTTCATGCTGTTGAACATCCTACAATCAGTATTCTGAACTCTGTATCTGATAGATTGCTTATCTCCATTTCATTGAGCTCTTTTTCTGGAGACTTCTCTTGTTCGTTCATTTGGGGCTTATTTTTTTGTCTCTTCATTTTGGCTGCCTTTTTGTTTCTATGTATTAGGTAGGCCTGCTAGGACTCTCAGTCTTTTTGGAAGGTCTCTGGTGCAGGCCAATGTCAGACGTTGTGACTGGCCTTGAGTACCCTGTTTGGAGCTATCACCAACCCACAGCTTGAGATCCCCTCTGTTGGGTCTGGGTGTGTTTGGACAGGAACAAGATGCCCACCAAAGTCTGCTTTTCCAAGGCTGGGTCCAGAAGCAAGTTAGGCAAAGACTCAAAGCACTCTTAGGTTTGCCTCTGCCTGCAGGCTGATTAATCTGATTCCCTTAATGAGCCTCAGACTGTAGAAACTCCACAGGGTGGGGTAGCCAATTGTTATCAGTCTCTTAATGAGCTTCAGGCTATAGAAACTCCTCTGGGTAGGGCGAGAGGTTTTCCAGCAGGGTAGGGCCATTGCTTCCCCCTCAGGCAAAAGCTGCTTGGAAGGTAAAATGTCTGCCTATGAAAGATGCCCTCTGCAGTATGGGGGAATGATTTGGCACAGGAATCCAGAGGGGTGCCCTCTGAGCTCTATCTCCAGAGCCCACAACCCTACATTCTTTTCACACAGCTCTAGTCCACTCTGCCCTCCCTCTGCTGGAGCCCAATGTGAGTGGCTACACATGAAACTTTGTGCTTTGGCTCTTTAAGAGGGTGCCTCTTATTTCCAGCCCTCTCCCTGGCAGACCAGAAACCTGGCTGCTTTTCACAGCCAGATGTCATGTGGGCACGTATCTCAGTTCTGGTGCTCTTGGCTGGGCAGCCCAGCCTGGGGTTTAGGCCCCAGAGTCCTCAGTGAAACCCCCCACAGCTGAGATATCCCTCCGGACCTTCAACTGCTGCCTGTCATGCCTCTGCACTTCCTACCGGTATCTGTGTGGTCTCCACTTTTCCTCCTTGGTTATGACGGTGCTCTCCAGCTCGTCTTCAGTTGCAGTTGATTATTCAGGGTGGTTTTTCTATATTTTAGTTGTAATTCCTATTTGGTCCCAGGAGAGTGTCAGTGTAGCTTCCACTCAGTCTGCCACCATCTTTAATCTCTAACAGCAACATTTTTAAAAAACTTTTTAATACTACAAATGTGTATCACAGTACCAGCAATTATAGCTAGTGCTGAAAAATTATGTATCCTACCTATGTTGTAATGTCAAACTTTGAAAAATTATATACAGAAAATTTTAATACTAAAACTCAATACTACATCTTTGGATAAAATTTTTGGATTTTTAATTTATCTCAGAACTTCATTCTGTGATGGTGATATCTGTCTTTAGCTCAGTATCAATGAGTACTTGGTCAATTTTATTTGGCCAAAATTTGATTTTGGTACAGTTCTAAATATGCAACTAAATCCCATCCAAAATTTAACTCTTAATCTACTCCCATTCCCAGTCCTAATCCCTGCCCCATTCCCTTACCCAGTTTTATTTCTTCATGTGATCTTCTACTAATATATGGTCTAGTTTACTTATTATGTTTATTATCTGCCTCCTCCTCCTTCCCACTACTAGAATGTAGGTCTTTGAAGGTAGAAATTAGAATATTTTTTTTTTTATGTTTTGGTCACAACT